GTAACTCAGATTTACAAGTTTCGAGGAAAATGAATAAAGCGGAGCTGTATGATTTGTATGTCTCCTTATAGTCAACTCCCAAGACAACCCACAGGCAGAGCAAAGCCCGCAGGGCTCAAAATTCGCCTGCCCAGTCACCACCCTCGTCTCCCTGCACAGGACACGGCTCGCTTCGCCCATCGAGCCGCCGCAGCAACAGGGCATCAGCTAGCCAGGGCCGCGCTCCAGTTTTCGCCACGGCAGGTCCACTACCACCTTTCGATGAAGCCCAGCCCTCCACTTCTGCTTCCGCCGCCGCAGCGCCACATGCAGCCGGGCCCAGTGGCCTCCCCACAGCCGCTCAGTTCTATTCTGTGCATAACCCTTTTCCTTTTCCGTGGCCTCCAGCTCCAGTTGCAGACACTAGCGGGAAGCTATCACCGCTAGCATCACAGACCCAACAATGTCAACAGTTCTACCCAACAGGTTACAACCCCGCCCACTTCCAGTGGCCTGCAGCTCCAGTAACTCAAACAAGCGCGGGCCCGCCTCCGCTTGCTGCCCAAGCTCACACTGCTTTCTATCATCCCTCACATCCTCCAACTAACTTTCCGTTTCAATTTACAACAGGTCATCCAAGCGCAAGGGCATCGCTGACATGCGCAGCTCCCGATTATACCCTTCCCAGCTCTATCATACAAACTAAATCACCATATTCTCTTTTCGCAGCCACTCCGATGGCCGTGCCGCCCAACGCAGTTGCTATGGAACCCCCACCAGTTTCTCAATCCATCCGCGCTCAGATCCTCTCAGGTACAGACGTAGACCTCTCTTCTATGTTGTCTCTCCTCCCTGCAGCTAAATCAGACCGCCAAGTGGATTGCGGTGAATTCTCAGTTACCCTGAAAAACACAAACATGCACTCATCTCGCGTCCTTTCGTTTCCCGAATTTACGATCGCTTTTTCACGTTTCACTGAAATCATCTGTTCAGCCGTCCCCCACAGGCGCCGCGAACTGAACGATTATCAAGCAATCATTGCCGAACTCGCGCTGTCCTATGGGGGCGGGCATTTCTACACGTACCATAAACTTTTTTCAGCCAAAAGTGCCGTGCGAGTCGCACAATGGAATCAGTGCACATACTGGGGTGCACTTGACTCGGATCTCCACAGCAGGGTATTTTTAGGTTGCAAAAACATTAACTGTGCAGTTTGGAGGTCAGTGGCGCACTCAACCGCAACGTGCCCACAGGTTAACCCTTCCTCTCTTCCCTACGTGGGAGTAAGCAATACTAAATCCACCAGCTATGTGCCACGTGCAGCAACCACCAGCGCAATCCAGGACTCTGCTTTTGATGAAAGCAGGCAGCCCTGTAATCATTTCAACGCAGGCAAATGTCAAAGAACGCACTGCCGGTATATGCACATCTGCAGCTTTTGTGGCGGCGCCCATGCTCGCATCGTATGTTCAGTCTTCAAGTGTGTGAATAAAAAATCAAAAAATTATTTTGAGACTCCTGTGAATGTTTCGCGCATACACTTCGAACTAGCTCATCACCCGGATGCCGAATTTACCAATTATCTGCTGTCAGGTTTAAAAAACGGCTTTAAACCCGGCTTGGAATGCCCGCTTTCCCAAAACATCACATGTAATAATCTCCAATCCACCCTTATAGAACCTGAAGTTGTAGACAAACTTATCAAAAAAGAAGTTGAGTCAGGTTTCATGATCGGTCCGTTTGACAATCCTCCATTTAATCTGTATCGTATCAGCCCCATTGGAGTTGCTACAAGGAAATTCTTGGGTAAAAAACGCCTAATAATCGACCTGTCAGCCCCGCACAATTCTCCGTTCCCAAGCATAAACACCTTGATCCCTCTCGATGAATTTTCGCTCAAATACCACAACATAGATCAGGCTATCGACATGATCAAAATCGCAGGTCGGGGTGCTTGGCTTGCAAAAAATCGACATTACATCTGCTTTCAAAGTAATGCCTATCCATCCAGGTTCATGGCACCTATTTGGAGTTCGCTGGCTCAGGAAATATTATTTCGCAGTACGTTTAACATTCGGTTGCAAAAGCAGCCCTAAAATATTTGACATGCTATCAGAAGCAGTTTGCTGGATCCTGTCGAACAACTACGCCATTCCTTACCTCATTCACCTGCTAGACGATTTTCTAATAATCTCGCCTCCCGATGCTATTCCAGCTGCGCACATCCTCACGGTACAAAACGTTTTCTCTGAGCTAGGAATTCCTATCGCACAGGAAAAAGCCATGGGCCCTGCAACGTCCATCGAGTTCCTAGGAATTAATTTGGATTCAGACAAATTCCAAGCATCCCTCCCCAAAGAAAAAATCGACCGAATAATCGTCGTCTCTTCTACTTTCCTTGAAAAATCTAATTTTTCAAAACGCGAACTCCTGTCCCTGCTCGGACATTTAAACTTCGCAATACGCATCATCCCGCAAGGCCGCCCCTTCATCTCGCATCTCCTCTCACTCGCGTCCTCTGTCCACTCACTAGAAGACCGCATTTCTAGAACCCAAGCATGTCGCGACGAACTCAGGCTATGGTTAACATTTCTAAAACAGTGGAACGGCCTTTCCTTTTTCTACAACAACCTTGTTTCATCCCCCACTGACATCCAATTGTTCACAGACGCCGCCCCCTCAATCGGGTACGGGGGATTTTATCAAGGTCGTTGGTTCGCGGCTCCATGGCCACCTCAGCTTCAGGACATAACTCAATCCTCAGCTTTATTCGAGCTTTGCCCTCTCGTAGTAGCAGCTTTCCTGTGGGGAAAAGAATGGGCCGCTAGCAGCGTTTTAGTGCATTGCGACAATGACGCAACAGTACATTGCATTAACAAAGGCCGTTTCCATTCACCCGCTCTGATGCCACTCTTAAGGTGTCTCACCTGGATTTCAGCTTGCGACCAATTCATTATCATTGCTAAACACATCCCTGGGTCAAAAAAAAAACAAATCGCCGACTCTCTGTCTCGTTTTCTGTTTCAGAAATTCAGGATGCTGGCTCCAGAGGCGGATCAATTCCCAACTCCAGTTCCTCGCTATTCAGAACTAATATTCCCGTAACCCACCCATTAAAACCATTGCTCGAAGCATCACTCGACGGTATCCTCAAAGCAGTATCTTCCAGGACCCTTCAATCCTACGTTACTGCTTGGAGATGTTTTAAAACATTTCATGTCTCTTATAACTTACCTTTCCCTGATTTTTCTCTTCTTTCAATCACCTCTTTTACCTCCTACCTTAATATCATTAAGGGCCTACAAGTCGGGTCCATTAAAGGTTATTTGAGCGGCATCCAGTTTTTCCATAAATTGATGTACGGCGCTCCTTCCACGGAGATAAACAATTCACAAACCTCCCTCCTGATTAAAGGGATTCAAAGATCCCGCCCCGACGCCAGACAACCCATAACGCTAGACATTCTCACCAAATGTATTCAGGCTTTCCGCACAGGCTACCAGCCCCTCAGTTCCGCTCGCACACTCGATGCCATGTTTATCCTTTTTTGGTTTTCTTTGAAGTGTTGGTTTAGTTTTATTTCGAAGAGCAATGGATCCAAGGATTGTGAATACCGTATTTTCCGCACTATACGGCGCACCGGATTATAAAGCGCACCTTCAATGAATGACCTATTTTAGAACATTTTCACATATAGGGCGCACCGGATTATAAGGCGCATAAGATTTGATGCAGTCAAACGTTTGACTGGGTTTGCGTTATGCATCCACTAGATGTGCTAAAGGGAATGTCAACAAAACTGTCAGATAAAGCCAAACTTTATTAAGCATTCTGACAACTCCGTTCACTCCCATGGTAACGTTGTTCAAACGTTAAAGGAAAACTCCGGTCAATTTTAACATTGAGCTCATTTTTTGTAAATTTGGAGTGCTCTCAGTACAGATAACAACGACAAAAACCGGTGTTGCCTACACCGTGTTATCCTCTTTTTAAAATTTGCACCCTGTTGACTTAAACGGGACAAGTTTTAAACCTGCTTTTAGCCTCTTAACAACCTTAATGTGTCATTACAAGTGCACAGCCATGTGAGTGAACACGGTGAATCTGACTGCACATACCCGTATTTTCTTCCTGTTTTTGGTCGAAGTCCACAGTAGGCGATTGTCGAGTGCGCGCGCGCGATCATTGGTAACTAAGCAACAGTGGAGACTCAGACTGTCAGCTGTCAGCCGATGACGGTGCTGTGTGGTGTTCTGAGAATATCAGCCCAAATGGATAGTTCATCCGAATCAGATGTTGAACACATGGAGAAGGTTTGATCGCGAACGCGACAATCAACTACTGTGGACATCAACCGAAAACAGAAAGTAAATACGGGTATGTGAGCTGGCTGAATAAAGAGATTATTCCTGCCTTCGTGAAAGCTCGGATCACAGTTGAGACTGATATATCAGGCATCCACAATCCATTGGCAGATAGTGGCGTAAGTCGCCCGGCGCTGTCTCCCCGTCTTGGTGAACGTGTGTTCACCATCCATATATAAGGCGCTCCGGATTATAAGGCGCACTGTCGTTTTTTGAGAAAATTAAAGGCTTTTAAGTGCGCCTTATAGTGTGGAAAATACGGTACGTATTAAACCGCAAATTAACATTTATATGCCCTAATATAACATAAAACGATATGTTACAGACAAAATATTAAAGACAACATTTTGTTGCCTAGTTTTGGATATATTATAACGTTTTTACTGTAAAATAAGCTACTGCCACATCAAATAAGCTTTTGTTCGCTAATTTTTGCTCATATGTTTGCTCATCGCGGCGATGACTGTTTTTCTGTGCGGAACATCTTGTTTCATTCTAAACCCAATTCTCTAGAACTTCCGGTGGCGCTGCACGGCTGGCGACACGGACTCATGCTGTTGCTGGCATTCCTTAAGTGTTAAGTGTTTGAGAGGATAAGATACTTGTTTTTGTTTTGTTTTGTTTTTTAAGATCGGTCAGTTTCTAAAGTAAGTCGATATGGCGATATTCATATGGCTCTTTATTGGGTTGTTTATCGCGTACCTGGCATCAGTCTGTTACTCGCACACAATGGCGTCCAGGAGGAGCAACGACCAAACACTATCATACACAAGAGAGGATCTGCTTCTGTACCGTTCAGTGGATCACAATTTGCCTGTGGACCTTACGGATTTCCTGAGAGCCAAGAGGGTGGAAAGCAAACGCCGGCGGAAAAGAGATCACAGAGGTGGTGTCAGACAGCGTCTTCGTCGACGAGGATGCAGACCGCCGTTACCTGCAATAATCCTGAGCAACGTCAGATCTCCACAACAAAAGATAGAAGAACTACGCATCAAAGCTAAAGCATGCTTCGAGTACCGGGAAGCAGGTCTTCTGATGCTTACTGAAACTTGGCTTCGCCCTGAGATGCCCAGCTCGTTGATAGAGGTACAAGGTTTTTCTCTTATTCGGGCGGATAGATCTGTCTCCTCGGGGAAGAGCAGAGGCGGTGGCACCTGTGTGTTTGTAAATGACCGCTGGTGCAGCCATACGACAGTTAAATCCACGGTATGTAACCCGGACATTGAACTCTTGTGTTTAAGTTTGAGACCTTTCTATCTACCCAGAGAGTTTGGGAACATTTTGATCTGTGTTGTGTACGTCCCTCCGTCGGGCAAAGCAGCAAATGCCGTGAGCATCATAAGAGACTGTATTCAAGTTCAACTTCAACATACACCTGGGGTCCGTTTCAATAAGGAGGTTCAACCAACTCTGAGTTAAAACTTGAACTCTGAGTTGACTTACCCTGAGATGGGAAACTCTGAGTTTTCGGTTACAGAACAGCTGAAATGAGTAAGTTCAATCAACTCTAAGTTGACTGACTCTGAGTTAAGCGCGTGCACCACAACTATAAAAAGCCATTATCAATGGAGCGCAGATATTATGAGTCACCATGGTAACAGCGCCAGACAAAAAGAGGTCTGCATATTTCTCACCAGCAGTACGCAAACAATTTTTTTTAAGCAACACAGCAGCAGCGGCGATCGAGAGAGTTAGTTTGGGAGAAAATAGTTGCTCGAGTCATTGCGTAAGTTTACATTTTAATTACTGTTATACAGTGTTGGGTGTAATTAGTTTAGTTTTTTAAAGGGATTACTCTTAATTCTTCTGTAATATAAAGTTAAATATGATGTCATTGCATTAAATACTGCATAGAACAATTCTGTATAAAACAATAGTCGATTTAACATAACATTTTTAAAAGGTATATTTTTAATGTTACCTTCTCCCTCTACACACTTTGGTCAATTCAAGAATAGTTCATGCAATTGTATAGTTAATTTGAAAGCATTAAAAGTGCAGTTTTGTCTCTTTTTGTATTGTTCAAGTGGTTGAGGTTGATATGGGATTTATAAAGTAATTAGTAATAAGTAGACCAATGCTTTCTAGAGATAGTAATTATTACATTAATCTAATTACACTGTTGAAGATGTCATTTGTAGTTAGTAATTAATAACTATTTTAGAATAACTTACCCAACTGTTATCAGAGGTGAAACTGGAAGAACAGTATGTTATTCAACCTAATTTTAATTGCAGGCATTAAAAGAACATGGCAGCAGCTGAAAATGAAATATTAAAACATAATTCAATCAGGTAAGCCTTGAGCATATCATGGATGTAGGGTACCTGACTTTACAAACATTTGACATATTAAAAAACTAAATAGCATCCAGTGTCTAGCAGTGCAAAAGCATTTTTGATATATGTCTAATTAACACAATCAAATATTCATTCTCATTTGACTTCTTCTCAGCCAACAGAAAGAAGGAAGAGGCTCACAAAGATGGAGATGAAGATGCAGAGCAGATGGAGATGCAGATGGAGATGGAGATGCAGAGGAGATGAAGATGGTGATGGAGATGGTGATGAAGATGCAGATGGAGATGGAGATGCAGAGGAGGAGGAGATGGAGATGCAGAGGAGATGGAGATGAAGATGAAGATGCAGAGGAGATGGAGATGAAGATGCAGAGGAGATGGAGATGAAGATGCAGAGGAGATGGAGATGGAGAGGAGATGCAGAGGAGATGGAGATGAAGATGCAGAGGAGATGAAGATGAAGATGCAGATGGAGATGCAGAGGAGATGGAGATGAAAATGCAGATGGAGATGCAGATGAAGATCCAGAGGAGATGAAGATGAAGATGCAGAGGAGATGGAGATGAAGATGCAGATGGAGATGCAGAGGAGATGGAGATGAAGATGCAGAGGAGATGGAGATGGAGATGAAGATGCAGAGGAGATGGAGATGAAGATGCAGAGCAGATGGAGATGCAGAGCAGATGGAGATGGAGATGAAGATGCAGAGGAGATGGAGATGAAGATGCAGAGGAGATGGAGATGGAGATGAAGATGCAGAGGAGATGGAGATGGAGATGGCCCTGAGCCTGAATACTGGAAGGCCAATGGCTGAGGGACTTCATCAGAGCCAGTGACTCCCGAAGATTCAATTGCCTTCATAAAATGTATAAGAGGTCTACATATGTATTATTTTTTATATAGGCTGTTTTTGATATTTCCATACATTTTACTTTGGGTTTGGGTTTTTTGTTGCTCCAAACCAATTTTTATGGTAATATCTGTCTTTTGGAGCCTCCTGTCCCAACAGAACCCCAGACAGTTGTAAGTAGCCTACTCAATACACCAGAAATTATGACAAATAGTATTATAAAATGTGCTAAATCAAATGCTCATCTTCACAGGACGATGGGGATGAAGAAACAGTTTCTGCTGCCACAGAGAGACCTACTAGGAAATGTTTATATTATGTGTCTACACATCAAACAATCTACACATTCAAATTTCTTCACATTATTTATGTAGAGTAGCCTATAGAATCTAAGTTTATTTCTAAGTATAAACGGATATTCTTATCTCTCCCCCTGTCCCCAGGGTGTGGAAGAACAGAAGGAGGAAGGTCCATCAACTTCTGGTGCACAGATAAACACAGTTCAGTGATTTTCAGTGAATGCCACAGTTTAATTCTGTAGAATGTGTTTAGAACTACATGATGTAACTCTAATCTACTGTATTTTCAGTTGCCAGTTAAGAAGTTATATAGACTTCATCTTATTTAAAAAAAATTGGAAAAAAACAGCAATGAATAAATGTACCGAAAGAATGAATGAGGTGTTTAAACACAGCTTTCTCTTTAAAAAAGAGGAGGAGACCGAAATAAACTCTGGGTTTACTGAAGTAAACCTGCTCCCGACCAGGTTAGGTTCACAGAGTAAGTTACCATGGTAACTGACTCTGAGTATAAGTTACCTCTCTTTCAGAAACGGGCTTGACTTACTCTGCTTTCTCAGGTTTGACTTACCTCCCATTCTGAAACAGAAAACCCAGAGTTTCCCTCATTTCAGGGTTAACATACTCAGAGTTTTCACTTAACCTCCTTTCTCGGTGATTTTAATCATTGTATAATGGAGTCTGCCCTCTCTGGGTATGAACAGTATCTTAAAGACAATACAAGACATAATAAGATATTAGACAAATGCTATGGGAACATAAAAGAAGCATACACTTCCAGATCAATTCCTCCTCTGTCTAATTCTGACCACAACACTGTGTACTTAATTCCAACATATAAGACTCTGTTTAAAAGACACAAACCTGTGATTAAGAGCGTTAATGTGTGGTCGAATGACATTGTTGAATCCTTGAAAGGTTGTTTTCTTTGTACTGATTGGGAAGTTTTTCATAGCGATGATATTGATGAATCTACCATGGTAACGACAGATTATATCAAATTTTGTACTGATAATGTAGTACCCAAAAAAGAGGTGATCACTAACGCTAACAATAAGACCTACATATCTAAGGAAATTAAACGCTGTATTAATAAAAAGAAACTAGCCTTTCGTAATCATGATCGTCCTGCAGTAAGTTTGGCACAGAAGGAATTGAATGGATTATTGAGTGAGGCCAGGAATAAACATAAAGAACTTCTGGAGAACAAGCTAAATATGTGTAACCCTAAACAGCTTTGGGATTCTATGAAATCCATAACAAATATGCAGCCTTCAAGGAAATATGTATCTACTACTGATGATCTAAAGAAAGCAAATGATTTAAATCATTTTTATTTAAGATTTGAGAAGAGCAGTCATACTCCTGTAAATAGTTTTAGTGATGTGGAGTCTTCTGGTGTTTTTAAAGAAAAGTTGGAGATTGATGCTAATCAGATCAACCATTACTTTAAACACATTTGCCCTAAGAAATTGGCAGGCCCTGATGGAATTTCAGCCTACATCTTAAAAAACTTTGCAGATGAACTGACTCCAGTATGGGTCCCTATATTTCAACAATCTTTGGACACCGGTATTGTTCCTAGCCTCTGGAAAAGGGCTGTGATCATACCGGCTCCGAAGATAGCCAAGCCCGTAGTAAATAATGATTTTAGACCGATCGCGTTAACGTCTGTGATTATGAAATGTTTTGAAAACTGTATTGTGTCAATGTTAAAAACAGAGGTTGCTAACAATTTAGATCCTTTACAGTTTGCCTATAGACAGGGGAGGGGAACTGAGGATGCTATTAGCAGCATTATGCACCTAATTCTGAAGTATCTAGAGAATCACAAAGCCTATGCCCGTTTACTTTTTATCGATTTTAGCTCTGCTTTTAACACCATCCAAACGCCCTTGTTAATCTCTAAGATGGAGCAGCTGAGTGTAAACCCAGCTATCACAAAGTGGTACTCATCTTTTTTAACTGATAGAACTCAGTGTGTTAAAGTAAACAATTGTCTTTCTCAACAAACAAAGATTAGCACAGGTGTCCCACAAGGATGTGTCAGTTCACCAATTCTTTTTACTCTTTTTACAAATGAATGTTCAAGTAAGCATTCAAAAAACTATATTTTTAAATATTCAGATGACACAGCCATCTTAAGTCTTCTCTATGGAGACGATAACATAGGAAACATCTACCAGCCAGAAATAAGCCGGTTTGTTGATTGGTGTGATAAAAATAATTTAATAATAAACATAAAGAAAACAGAGGAGATTATATTCGATCCAAAATGTATAGGTGACCATCATCAAGTGGTCATACATGACCAAAACATCACTCAAACGCAAACTTACAAGTATTTGGGTGTTTATATAGACAGCTCACTTACTTGGAAAACTCACACGGAATGGGTTTGCACCCGGCTGCACCAGAGACTGTACTTCTTACGTAGATTACGTTTTTATGGGGTTAATAAGAAAATTATGATGTTGTTCTACAAAGCTGTTTTAGAAAGCATAGTTAAGTATGGTGTTATAGTATGGTTTGGGAACCTATCTATACAGCTTAAATCTAAATTAGCACACCTGGTGTTGACAGCACTAAAAACAGTGGGACACGAGGAATATTTGAATCTCCAACATTTATATGAAAATTGCATTCGGAATCAGGTACAGAAAATCGTGGGGGACCAAACTCACTTTTTGTATTCACAGTATGAAATGCTCCCCTCCGGCAGAAGATATAGAGTCCCATTGTGCAAACTAAATAGGTATAAGAATTCCTTTGTTCCTGTGTCTGTACGACTGCTGAATAACAGTTTATCTTATTAATTTTAAATTTGTAAAATCAACTGTCTTTCCTCTTTTTTTATTTTTATTTTTGTATATTTATATGTATATGCAGCAACATGTAGTCCAAAACAAATTTCCTTCCGAGGATAATAAAGTATACTACTACTACTTCATTCTGGAACTCTTAAAGTCCTGTGTAATTTCTTCGAAACTGTCAAATGCTTTTCCACCTATCCAATGGACTCATCATGTCTTGGAATTCTTTTTGTTTTCAATTTATCTGAACACTTGCAGCTGTTACCTGTGGAGGAGTTAAAAACAAAAATGGTGTTGTTGCCACTCAAGACTGGATACACGTGGCATTGCCACTTCTGCACTAGTGTGCTATTTATTTGTTTTTTTATTGTTTGTTTTAATTATGAATTTATGTATTTTTATGTATGTATTTGTTTTTCATGTTATCTTCCGCGATAGTTGAATTTATAAATGGTGGAGGATTGGCAGTTATACCGACAAAATGGTTTATCGGGCCTGAGGAGGATGAATGCTACTGGCCACAAGCAAAGGATCAACATGGCAAAGGCGGTCACAGAGCAACAGGACCCTCACACTGCCTGGGCGGCATACAAGTTGACTGTCAAGAGTCGGTAATGTGTCCATGTGTATGATATTATCTGACATGATGAGTTCACTGTTGATTCGGTTTAAATTTGCTCTGAATGAAACTAATTGCCAATCATATGTCTCCCACAGCAATGTATGAAATTGCCCGCACAAAATTAGTCGAGTAGGAACAGAACACAGATGGACAAACCGAGTCCGATTCTACAGAGAATATGGGAAGGGGGAAGCGCAGAAAGAGCTGAGGCTATTTGAATTACTACTACTAAATGGATGATGAATTTTTGTGGGAGTTTTGTTAAGTATATTTGGCTCAAAGTTGTTAAAACGTGGGAGGTAGACAACAGATATAGCCAATACAGAATATTAAATGTAATCAGTTAATAAGTTACAATCACATGTTTAGGGGGGGAAACAGATGTATGCAAATGGAAGTGTGCATGCCTAAAGGGGGTATGGGGTGTTAGAACAGATGTTAAGGATCTATGTGTGGGTCTCTCTGGTATCCAGAGTGTAGTCATACTGTATATAGATCAGTCATGGAAATTCTCTGGTGGAAATGTGTACGAACCCCGTGTATAGTGGTATCACCCGTTGTCCAAAATGTATATTTTTATATACATATTTGTTTAAATATATTTTCATTTTTAATCAACTGTTTTTAAAATGCTTTAACTCATTGATTGTGCTTGTATATTATACATTTAGGTGAGTGATTTTGTCCAGTAAAGATGAGGATGATGACAATTGGTCCGGCAGTCCCATCAGGCCTTACACCTCCATCCACCCTCAGGTCATCACCTCCACACTGTAAAAAAAAAAGAAAAAAGGTTGTATAATAATAATAATCAAAATAATAACTTAAAGCAAACTACAACTGTTTATTAAGTTAAAGGTTTGTTGCTGATTGGAACTTGAAGTGACGATTAGGTCTTAAAATATTTTGAGAAGGTCTTTAAAAAGTTTTAAAAATGTATTGAAATTAACTTCAGAATTCCTGCATATACCCTGAACTTTACGTTGTCTTGCTACGCTGTGAGGAATAGTACTATCGTAATAATAGTCCTGGAAAATTTACCTCAGAAGTGCTTGTTTAGTTTATCTTCGAGGAGCAACGGATCCAAGGAATGTGAATAGTAAGTTCTTTATTCTTAAGATCTTTGTTCTAATCGCGATATGGAATAGTGTCTGTAAACCGCAAAAAGACTTTCAATTTGAATCGCGTTTCTGTGTGTGAATGAATGAAAGGCACAAATGCGCGCTGTTGTTTACAGACACATACATTAGTAAACATGTTATTTTTACATGAACACATCTAGGCCTACTAGTTTAGCTTTTCCCAAACTATATTGCTATACTCAGATGAGTATAAATCTACTGAAATAAGTTGAAATAAAATGTCTTTGGCAACGTATTAAACTGCAAATTAACATTTATATGCCCTAATATATCATAAAAACGATATGTTACAGACGAAATATGAAAGACAACATTTCGTTGACTAGTTTTGGATGGATTATAAAGTTTTTACTGTAAAATAGACTACTGCCACATCAAATAAGCTTTTGTTCGCCAATTTCTGCTCATATGTTAAATATATAGTCATCAACATATGTAAGTATAAATATAAGTCATCAACTAAGATGTTATTATAGTGTTTGTTCCAATGTAGGCTATATTCAAAGTAACGAATCCTTAACTTTGAAATACGTATGATAAAATATATACTTTTAAAAAAGAAAGATTACACTTGAAATATTGTTAAAATTGTAATTGTGGTTGATTTACATGTGAAAACTTTGTAATAAAATAGCAAAAAAAAAACATTTACAAGGTAGATGTAAACAAAATCTTAATAGGTATAAGCCTTCTCATTAAAATGATTTATTATTGTTTTTTATTAGTGACATTTGGGGAGAGAATATATTCCAAAACTTTCTGAAAATACAGTATGAGAATTAACTGCACAATTACTAGAAATGTTTTCCTTGGATATTATACTATTTGTATGCACACAAAATTTGTGAAAAAATAAAATAAAAATTCCAAGATGTCTCCAAATCTAACTTTGAACCAATTCTGTAGAATGGCCAATATAGCCTATTTGAACAGGATTTGTTTCCAGGTTATTTTTTTAAAAATGTGCTTTTGACTTTCATTTATATTTGGACTAAACAATATTCTCTCAGAAATACAAACATGTACATACATGTTGCTCACATATTATGGTAGCCCTGTTTGTGCTAAATAGAGTGTAATTTCACCTGTGCCATTAATATGTTTATAAGCAACTGAAAAAAGCACAAATGTCAGGGCATGTCAAAACATCTCAAGGACCCCAAAACACCTTAGACCCCAGAGGGTTAATATTTTGGGTATCACATTTTTTAAATGAAATGATCCTCACCCACTTAACAGTATTTATCAGTACAGAGGTGTCATATGGAGCCTACATTCTCAGATATTATTGTACATATTCGTGAATAAAAGTTTTAAACTAGGTTTATACCATTAAAATGTTGTTTGTCCTCCCTCTTTTCAGTATTTATTGCCATCTAGTCCTGATTGCAGAATTGAGCTCCAACCCCAGTTAACCAGCACACCTGGGGCCTGTTTCAGAAAGAAGGTTAAGTGAAAACTCTGAGTAGGTTAACCCTGAAATGAGGGAAACTCTGGGTTTTCTGTTTCAGAATGGGAGGCAAGTCAAACCTGAGAAAGCAGGGTAAGTCAAGCCCGTTTCTGAAAGAGAGGTAACTTATACTCAGAGTCAGTTACCATGGCAACTTACTCTGTGAACCTAACCTGGTCGGGAGCAGGTTTTCTTCGGGAAACCCAGAGTTTCTTTCGGTCTCCTCCCCTTTTTTGAAGAGGAAGTGGTATTTAAACACCTACATTCATTCATTGCGCACATTTCAGTCACGCAGAGCCCATCAAATTAAGTGAATGAAATGGCATGTCCTTTTATGGACGATCCTGTGGATGAAGAGGCTGCATTGATCCGTAGGGAGTTACATTTATGTCGGGAGAGGGTTTTGAGACCCAGAGTGGATTTTTTGTCATATCCATATTCATTTTTATTAGAGCGGTACCGTTTTTCTTTACAGTCAATAAGATACATCCATAATCTCATCCATCCTTACATCAGCCATCGCGGCCGTGCTCTTACATCCGAGCAGATGCTTTGCGTTGCATTACGTTTCTTTGCAAATGGTAGTTTTCTGTATAACATCGGGGATGCAGAACATATCAGTAAGGCTACTGTTTGCAGAGTTGTAAGGAAAGTGTGCCTCGCTCTTAAGCGCTTTCTGAGAATCTTTGTGCTGTTTCCTGGGCACAAACCCGTGAGAGCCATCAAAGAGGAGTTTCACAGGATTGCAGGTCAGTGATGTATAAATCGGTTTAAATGAGGCTAACTTGATGAATGACATTCAGTTAAGAATATCTTGCTGCGACCCCTGGAAGTAAACTAATAATTAGAATTCCTTTTAGGATTTCCGAATGTGGTTGGATGCATTGATGGCACACATATTCCCATCATTGCACCTTCCGAAAATGAAGCTGACTATGTCAACAGGAGATCCATCCACAGTATTAATGTGCAGGTACACAGACAGCCTACTGTTTCTAATGGTCAAAGACTACATCACAATACTATAACATGCCTCATTCTTTGCACTGTCAAGATCATATGCGATGCTGCACATCTCATTACAAATGTGGAGGCCAAGTGGCCCGGTTCGGTTCATGACTCACGAATGTATTGTGAGTCAACCCTGAGCAACAGACTGGAAAGGGGTAAGTAAATGCACGTATTTCAATGTATGCACTATTTACAGGAGAACTTCTAAAGCAATGTGAATTTTCTTAGAGGAGAGATTGATGGCTTTCTGCTGGGAGATAGGGGTTACCCATGCCGACCAACACTAATTACCCCTTACCCAGAACCTGAACCAGGCCCTCAGTGCCGCTTCAATGTGGCACACTGCAGGACGAGAGCCCGGGTGGAGATGACCATAGGCCTGTTGAAAGCACGTTTCCAGTGCCTACGTCACCTCAGGGTAACCCCTGAAAGGGCCTGCGACATTATTGTGGCATATGTTGTTCTCCACAATATTGCCATAATTAGTGGGGAGCAACACCCTGCCCTACAAATACAAGACCCAGAGGAAGACCCCATCAACCCCGCAGATTTCCAGGATGGAAGGATAGTCCGGGATACGATATGCCGAAATGTCTTCACAGATTAATACACATATCCACCATCACAACCAACCACAAAATAAAAATAAATAAACACAAAATCACAGCAATTTATATGGTGTTCTTTATTTCCTACACATAGAAAAAAAAGAAAGAAAAAAAAAAGATTAATATATTTTCAATACTTAGAATTCACCTGTGACCATGCACTCACCTCTAGCTTTAGTTTCAGAATCTCGATTTCTAGATCTGCCTTTTGGATCTGGCGGTCCAAGTATACAAGTTCTTTGCTGTTTTTTTCTATCTTTTTAATAAGAAGAAGTCTATATAACTCCTTAACTGGCAACTGAAAATACAGTAGATTACAGTTACATAATGTAGTTCTAAAATTCTACAGAATTAAACTATGGCAGCAGAAACTGTTTCTTCATCCCCATCATCCTGTAAAGATGAGCATTTGAGTAAACTTTACACTATTTGTCATAATTTCTGGTGTATTGAGTAGGCTACTTACAACTGCCTGTGGTTCTGTTGGGACAGGAGCCTCCAAAAGACAGATTTTACCATCAGAATCTGTTGGGACCAACGAAAAACCCATCCCAAAGTAAAATAAATGGAAATATCACAAATAGCCTATATATATATATATATATATATAAAAAAACACATAGACCTCTTACATTTTATGAAGGCACGTAAATCTTCTGGAGTGACTGACTCTGATGAAGTCCGTCCAGGAATTCCCTCAGCCATTGGCCTTCCAGCATTCAGGCTCAGGGCCATCTCTTCTGCATTTGTCAGAGGTGGTGGTGCAGGTCCTCCCCCCGTTTTGCGAGCCTCTGCCTTCTTTCTGTTGTCCGAGTAGTCAAATGAGAATGAACATTTAGACTCATGTCAAAAATGCTGCTGCACTGCTAGACACTGGATGCTATTTAGTTATTTATATGTCAAATGTTTGTAAAGTCAGGTAGACTACAACCATGATATGCTCAAGCCTTACCTGATTGAATTATGTTTTTATATTTCATTTTCAGCTGCTGCCATGTTCTTTTAACACCTGCAGGATTGCACCTACATGAACATTAAAATTAGGTTGAATAACATAGGCTACTGTTCTTCCAGTTTCACCTCTGATATTATAACAGTTGGGCAAGTTACTTATATTACTAACTACAAATGATATCTTCAACAGTGTAATTAGATTAATGCAATAATTACTATCTCCAGAAAGTATTGATCTACTTATTACTAATACTTTCTAAATCCCATATCAACTTCAACCACTTGAACAATACAAGGAGAGACAAGAAACTGCACTTTTAATGCTTTCAAATAAACATTATACATTTGCATGAATTATTCTTTAAAAAATATATCTTTTAAAATTTGTCAAATCCACTATTGTTTCATACAGAATTGCTTTACAGTCTATGCAGCATTTAATGCAATTACATCAGATTTGACTTTAAATTACGGAGTAATCCCTTTAATTAAATTATAGTTTTTAGATTACTTAGTAATTAATTACAAACAACACTGTATAACAGTAATTAAAATGTAAACTTACGCATTGACTCGCACCATTACACTTTGCCAGCTATAAAAAATTTGCATTTCCTGACGTTTTACCACTGATTTTTAGTGACAGTTGATATGTATGGGCAATGTAGTAATATTTCTGTCATAAACATTTATCAAAATATTTAATTATTTCAATTATTGAATAATTAAAACGCTACTTCGGTTTAGGCCCGCTTTTTTCAAAGCAAAACGAAATACAAACAAGCTCATGTTTACACAGTATTCAATTAATGGATAAAACGGGGGTATTTTTTTTAAGCTTTTTATTTTTTATCTCGAACCACAGTGCCTATTCATGCTTTTGTTAAACTAAATAGCATTTATAGAATAATTCTGAACTGAATTAATCAATATTGTAACATTTCGACAATTATGTTTGAAATTATTTTATCATTTAAATTCAGGGCGATTTAGCTTCATATCATTAGAGCGATATTTTCACTCGTGTCCTTTCCTCATTGGGAAGCGCTCATTCACACGTTTGAGTAGATCCTCAATTTGTTTTCATATGTATTAAATAATCAGATCATATTTATTCACATTTAAAGATTTAGACATTTTTTGACGCGCAGTTAACAGAGACGACAGAAAACGTTTTGTCATTAGCCTATTGTGAGTGTACTGAATAAAAGTAGACCTTTTACAGTTTTAAAAGATGATATCTTATCTGTATGACCAAAAATTACGGAGTAGCCTATTAAGTTGTTTTAGCTGTTATGAGAAAAATAAATTCAAGTGAAAGCGCCGCCGCGTTTGTCGATCTCTAATTCAACATGCCAGAATAAAGCCTGATTTTAGAATAATGCGTAGCGCCATTCGGCGTGGTGTGCCAAAACACTGAATTATAAACTTCAATATTTCGTTCAAAACCATCTCAAAACGCATTGTGCCATTTTGTAAAGCCGTGACTGTATTATGGCCACTGGAACCAGGGTCGTAACTGAATCGCGCGGCATGCTATCTCTCAATACAGGAGCAGAAGCGCTGGTTCAGATTTTATTGTTTGTTGTTTAAACGTGCGTGTTGCATTTTTTTTAATATACATATATATATTCGATATGGTCTATTGGTGAATTAGGCTATAGCATTGATTACTGTGGAAGGGGGAAATCCCCCACTGGCAAATCACACCTTGCTTGTTTTTAAAAACTCTTTTCTGTAACTATATGGAACCCCATAAAGTTTTATTTTCTTTTTTTTTTTTTTTACAGAACTGCTTTTGAAATTACGATTGGAATTATTATTCAGATTTTATTTGATAAATAGCTATAGGCAAAAAATAAAATGGTGTAACTGAGTTTTAGAATTAGACAGATCTCTGCATTAATAATAATAATAAAAAATTACAGTAGACCGTGTTTACTCGGGATTTTGAACCCGTGTCATCTAAATTATTGAATCCTAAGTTCTACCACTCGACCACGACTTTTCTCACAGAGAAATGCCCAGTAGTTCGGTTGTTCAGCAGTCAGTGTATGCGCACACGAGAGAAGCACTCTTCAATCGTCTCATTCCTCTATTGAAGTTGTAGTACAAAATAATCAGCGTCATTGCACCCAATTTATTTTCACTGACTGCAAGATAGGCCTATTTTTACTTTTGATTCATAAACTTTTCTGCTCTAAAAATTGGTTATATTCTGTTTAAAATGTACTTTTACATAATTACGTTTTGCTTATTCGAATTTAACCGAATCTGCTGTAGCCTATAGGCTATTTTTAAAAAAAAGTTTATTTTTTTGGTCTAAAAGTTTGTTCTATTCTGTTTCGTTTTTTTTTTTTTTTTTTTTTTTTACATATTCAGTCATTCTCATTCTTGTTTTTTTTACAAGATCTTGTGCTGTGTTTTTTAATAAACAGATAGCCTACAAACAGAGATATATAATCGTTTTGTAATGGTATGTGGTAACCAGGAAGCACGAGGAGAACCGGGAAACAGGAATTTAATCAAAAACACAGGAGTCACAGAAACCACACTATATATAACCGACAACAGACAAGGAGTGAGGGAGAACACAGGGTTTAAATACACAGAGCCCAGATTAGGGAAACAAGGCACAGCTGGGGCAAATTAACTAAACACAGGTGAATGAACTGAACACTAACGAGGAGCGGGAAAACCGTGACAGGACTAAACCAAAAACAGTAAGCAGGGGGAAACACAGGACATGTTTGTACAAATAAAAGTCTATATGTATACTGCATGTATACTATAAATTGTATGATCGTTTGTTTAAATAACATTAACCAAGTTGTCTTTCTTTCTTTAATTAATAATACAATTATTTCTTTAACATGCATGCAGTTTCAACTTTCATTATTGTACAGCAAATGTGAATAGCTCTTGGTTTGATTTTTCATGTTTGTTGTAGGCTTATTGGGAAATTACCATAGTTGTATTATTCATCCTTGTTGACATTACCTGAATACAGTTAGACTTTGTCTATACCTGAATACAGTTACTTACCTGAAAAACAAAGTTTTTCATTTTTAAAAACATAAAGTTATTTAATTGATGACGGCAGCTTGTAGGATAAGTGTGAGTAGGCTACCAAGCAGCATCTCCAGGTGCTCCCACTATGGTATACAATATATACTACTAAAATAGTAAATCGTTATTTTAAATTGTAATAATATTTTGGATCAAAGTATTACAGCATTGGTTAGAGACATTAGAGAGATTTTTTAAAGCATTTGAAAATTTAAATATTCTACATTTTGGCCATTAGCATTAAGGTTTATGTTTTTGAACCCATCTGTGGAGGCGGAGAAGTCACAGACACAGCCTTATTGATTGTGCAATGTATCAGCATGTATTTATAGTGGTATAAACTAGCGATTTCTTTTTACTTAATAGATGCCCCCATTACTAGTGTTATACGCTAAACAGTTTTTAGAGATAAAACTCTTTACATTCGATTATCATGAAAACAAATCTCAGAGAACGGTTGACTAGGTACCAATGTTTTATTAGACCAAAGGTTCATTTTGCGCCGGAGTTCTCCTTTAATCTTCATAGGCAGCTCCTTCATTATATCTTCTGTTGTACCCGAGTATAGCTGCGATTTTAAAATGTTATCATTACGCGCTCAAGATGTGGCAGCGTCAGTCACTCCCACTACCACTACCTCGATCTCCTCCTCGACTGGTTCGATCTTCTTAATCTGGATTCATTAAAAAATAAAATTACAGATTGCTAGTGTGTGTGTGTGCGTGCGTGTGTTAGATAAGGAATGAATGAGTTCCAATCATGAAAACAACAATACAGACAGATAGATAAATAGGTAGATAGATGATCATAAGTACCTTGACGGTTGTCCTGTTCGAAAAACAGTTCCACGAAAGTTACTAAGGTGTATAAAGTCTCCTTCGTGGATCTCCAACAAAGACTGCTCCCTCCAAAGAGAGACCTCAAGGAGGGTTTCCCCACACCTCAGCTTTAGGTCACGAATTGGGACGTCCATCCTTGTCATCCTTGGTTTCTGCAGCTGCAAAATTAAAGCACAG